AAAAAAAAAAAAAAAAAAAAAAAAAAAAAAGGAAGTATTTTACCTGTGTCTCATGGATTAGCAGCTTTGCAGTGAAAGAAGAATGGTGACCTGGGCAGCTTCTGCTTGCAAGTTGAAACTGCAAGGGTCCCCAGCCCATAATGCTGGCTCTGTGCCCCTGCTGTGCCCTCCATTGGGCTGTTGCTCCCCTATGGATTTCCTTTCTGACTTAAAAGATCTGCCTTCATTAAGGTCTTTCAGGCTGTAAAATATTAATGATATGAAACATCTGCTTAATTCTTTAACAGAAGTTGCAGTGTTTATTGGAAGACTCACGAGAAAGAAAGACCTTTCTCACGTGGCCAAGGTATGTTCCAGAATCCATGAAAGAAAAAAGCTGGGCATCTTATTCACTCCAGCAGTTTGGACTGTTTATGAGATGCTCCACTGTAGGACAACAGCAGCAGCACAGGTGTTCTTAGCTGTATACTGACCCTTGTCCAAATCATGATCACCCTACTACCCGTGTCCCCCTAAACCATAAGTGTGAGGGGGGCTTTACCTGCATCTGAATTCTGTGAAAGCCTCGTAGATATGGTCAGTGGTAACCCATGAGAGGACAGCACCATAGCTGGAAGGATCAGCTGACAGTGTCCAGTACCTTCACCCAGCCATTCTAAAGCCAGTCAGATAACACACGCTGGAGTTATTCTAAAATTGGTTTAATGTAGCATCCTGACCACTTTGATGGTGGTGATCCCCCACACAAGGGAGATCGCTAATATGCTGTCTGCAGAGAGGCTGCATGCTCAGGGAGCAGCATTTGAGGTCTAAAAGGGCACAAGACACTCACCTTTTTCACTGATCCCATTGATCAGCTGGCAAAGCCTTCTCCAGACTGCACTGGAAGTAGTGCTGCGGGGAAGCATCCTCTGAACTTTCCTCCTCAGGGTCATCACTCAGACTGGCTTTTCTCCTTGGGAAGAAAAAGGCAAAAAACTCTCTTAACAATTAATACTTCTGCCTGCTTTTTGCTCTACAGTATCATTCTTCTCAGCTGCCGTGACAAAGGAGATGCATCCAGGAGCTGCATTTTTAACACTTGGAACACCATGAAGTAAATTGTTTCAATTAGCCTTTCCTTATGCAGTGCTGCATTATTATGAGGGCTGTATCCTCCCTGAAGCTTTCCTTCCGTTGGTGTCCTAGGACACTTTCAAAACCTTGGCTTTTGAGGTAGTCCAGGCTACAATGGAACAGATAGGTAACAAACATGGAAGAAATCAGAAGGGAACAGATTGTATCTTGTTTCCTCTTCTTCAAACAGCAAGTACAAGATTCTCCCAACATGCCACGTGGCTTAAATCACTACACAGTCTCCCCACAGTAAAGGGGAGGAAGGAAGGGAACTGGGGCTTCATGAACTGCACAGCAGTGTCACATTCTTCTTTAATAAACATAGCTTCTCTTTATGGGAAAGCTCATCATCAGCAACAAACAAAAGACACATCTCACTTAAAAAAAGGTTTTTGAAAAATCATAATAATGCACAAACAGGCACAGGTGTGCAAGCACAGGCAAAAAGTTGAGTTCTCTGAGGTACTGAGCACTGACAGATCCCATTTACTGCAGGAGCCCTTGGAAATGTTAAATACTTGAAAAGTTCAGCTTTGTGTGCTTCTAAACATGCTTCTTATGCATCAAAGGACATGACCCAGCAAGACTGCACGTGCCAGCTACTCCCAGTCATCTGCATTTGATTTGCATAGTCAAACTTTACATCATTCTTCTTGTGCTCAAGCCATGATGTCAAGGGTCTGGTTGCATCTTTTTGCTTCTTCCTTGCCTATTCCTAATGTGAGGAAAAGCTGCAGACAGTCAACACTGAATTTTACTCTCAAGATTTAGGGCAAGGGAATTTCAGCCTAGCTGGGGACAGTTCTCCAGCCACAGCCTCTGGCTGCTCTGTGTCCCCTTTACACCATTTAACCAGCACGAAGAGAACCTCGGAGACCTGGGAATCTAGGTCAGATCTATACGTACGGCCAAGCACATTCTGAGCCTGCTTCTTGTTGATGGTAATGAGCTCTTGGCACTGTTCTCACAAGTAAATGATGTTTGCACCTTCTCTAGAGCCTCTTTAAAACACAAGAGAAGGGCAAAGGAGTTCCAGCATACCTGATGATTAGTCCCATCGCAATTTAAAAACTGTGATTCAATAAGTGAAATTATGTAAGTTTTGTAAATGAGCATCCCCATAGCCCTTCAGCCGTCATGTAGCCCCTATTACAAATTCTCATGCAGATCTTGCCAAAGCCATGGACACTGGGCTCCAGCAAAACAGGGGAGAAAGCAAATACCAGCTAAACATTTGCCTGCAAATGCTTCCCCTTGCCAAACACACACCAGAAAATGGTTACCTGAACACCACAGGTATTTAAAATTTTCAGCTTGTGAGAAACATGCAGCTACTTCATGGCGAGATGAATGTCCATTAAAAAGGACAGCTGAATGTTTTAGTCAGTCAGACCCAATCCTAGGCTTGTGTGGACTTGTGTCCCATTTCCCTTGGTGGCTCTCATCAGTTTCTGATGTGAAGTGGGTATGAGTGGAGCAAGTCATACTGCAGTCTTCCTTCATTGTACTCTCCTGCCTTCCAGCAATCAGGTGAAGGTTATATCCACATCTTAGCATTTAATAGTTTGATTTTGGTACCTACAACATCGTAGGGTAGTGAGCTCCAGGGTTTGATTATTTATTGTGTGGACAAATCCTTTCTATTATTATTTTAAAATTTCTACCCTTCTTCATGCAGTTCTCCCTGCAAACCTCCACCACATCCTTCCTCAGATATTTCTTTGCAAAGCTGAAGTTTATCTCATCTTCTTACTGGGAAGTAGTTTGATATTTCTAATAATCTTCTCAGTGTTCTCTAAAATGCACCTAGAATTTCAACTACAGACTGATGGTCAAAGCAGGTGAGAGTGCTCCTAATGAGACGTACTATGGAGGAGCTGTGCAGATGCAGCCTCTGAACAGTGTAACCACACTGTCCCTTGTGGAGTACTTGGCAGTGGCTTAGCCACCTGGTAGAGAAAACACGAACGATTCTGGTAGGGTTAGCATTCAAAAAGAAGAAGAAAAAAAAAGAAGTAACTTTCCCATCATGCGTAAAGCAGGCTGACAGCTGCTAGGACCTGGACATGCAGAAGTAATTAGAGCATAAAAAGGTGCAAATGCCCTGTGAGAAAGGAATGCGAATATGATGCTTGTCGTTCCCCGGGGCTGATTCCTGCGGCTGGCGAGCTGTATTTAAGTGTTGTCAAAGCTGGCTCTCCATCATTTAGATAATTATATTTAGTATAGTCAAGTGTAATGTCTAAAGGGACCAGTTGAAAACACCAGGGTATGGAGCTGGGCACTAGCAGCAAATTGAAGAAACTGCCCCTGGTTGTTCCCAGTCTTTGGATTCATGGGTTCTTTTTGCAAGCAGCAGTTCTTCTGACACTGGCAGCTCCAAATAAAAATAAGAAAAAAGACTTTGTCTGTAGCTTAGCTGAAGGGGATTACCAAGTGAGAATCAGAGTGCTTTTGGTATTTCAGTAAAGCTGGCAGAATGGTAAAAATGAAAAATTGCTAGATTGGGAATTAAGTTTCCAAACAAATGATCCAGCTGTATTCATTGCTGCTTGTGGGGTCATGGTAAGCACCTGGTGAATGGGAATTGTTCAAAAAGTTGATGAAACTTGAAATTGTTCTGAATTTTACAAAAAATATTTTTCTTCTGGAAGGCTCAATTGGACATGCCCAAATTTCAACTAAGACTTTTATTTTTTTAGGATTTCACTGATCTCAGTATGGAAGTGACAGACTAAATTTATGGATGAATAGATTTTAATGGATTCAGGTTTAATTTTCTTCACTTCAAGAATCTGAAGTATTACTGTGTGATATTAGCAATTAATTAAAATGTTATAAGTGAAGAGATGAGAATCAAATGTAAGGCTGAAAGTTGTTTGCAGTATCTATGTGAGTAACACTTTTTGGGACAAATATTAAGCCAGGTTCATTCACAAACCCCTCATAAGCAAATAAATGGGATAACATTTCAACTGGTATTATTTTAAATCATACCGTATTTCTAATGTTATTTTTACCTTCTCAAACGTTTGGGCAACTTGAGAAAACTTGCTTTTTAATTTAATTGAAACATGTACTAAGGATAAGTACCACTGAAGGAAAGTCAGCCCTAATACACCATTTCATGTTTTAGACAAAATACTGTTGTTTGGTGTAACTATAATAACTCTAGGCAAAACCAATTACCCAGATACTTCAAGCATGTTAGCCTTGTCTGCTCCATCACAGACAACAACACAGAGTGTAATTGAAAATAATATCTCCCAGAACAAAAAACTCTTGAAGACAACTCAAGATTCATCTCCTTTGATTTTTTTTTTCTCCCCCCAGTTTGGAGACTCGTTATATAAAGTCTGGTAGTGAATAAGGGAAGCTTTTTGTCTGAGTTAAGGGCTTGAGAAAATGAAAGGCATTAATTGTTTTCTTATTCTCTACAGACAATGAGAAAAGTCTTGAACAGCAACAGCGATGTCACTGTTCTGCGATCAGACTTGCAGACTGTCATCAATAAGGAATTTCTGGATGTGGCTGGAAACCTCTGTCAAAAGGAGCTTAGGAATCTTGAGCACCTGCAGAGCAACCTAGAACTGAAATGTAATTTATTTATTTTTTCCCTATATTTTGTCTATCCACCAAAGTCCTTGCTTTCTAGTGTTAAAGCTCCAGCATTTCCTCTGGTTTATTCATGGCATCTGACCCTAATGGGAATTACAGACTTGCTGTAACCCGAGGTACTGGAAAAGAGCCAATAAAAATGAGAATGCAGCATGTAATATTATCCTTTTAACTTTAAAGGTTAAGAATGAAAACCTTTGGATTCTGACTCTCTTAAAGCTTTCTGTGGCAGCAGGAGTGGGGTTTGTGTTACTAAATGATGTATCTTCCAGAAGAAGGTTGACAAACAGGGATATTAATTTGTATCATTTTCTTTGACAAAAAGAAGTTTCCAAGAGTTCAATTTCACATTTTCCTCTGTTATTAATCAAAGTACACAAAATCATTTCCTGTGGCCTGATTTCATACTATTGTGTGCTGAACAGGACGAGGAGGACTATTTGCCTTTCATCTTCCCTGCCCTTTCGTGCCCACTGTGGCCTGTGGGATCGATGTGCTTCTGTAAACAATAAAATACACAGTTTGTATGCAGCCATGACATAATGCATTTGCCAGCTTAATGAAAAAGGATGGGAGCATAATGGCAAGCTAATTTTTAGATTAATGGGCTGCCATTTACATTATTAGCAAGAGATGGGCAAGTTGGAGGAGGCTGTGCACAGAACTGATGGGGGGGTAACCTCCGCTCTTTGTTCCTGGCTTGTCGCTGACAAGGGATGTGCCACAGCCTTTCCCTGCCTGCTTTCAGTAGGAATAATAATTGGCCTTCTTCACAGAACCTTCAAGAGAACCATTTAAATAGTATTTATATATGGCTTAAAATCAAAATCACTGTGCAGAATGCTTGTATTACATTAGCTCATTATATTAATGACCATCATATTATTACCAAGGGGGATTTATCGTGTTCTCTGTTTTTGTCACTTTTCCAAGTTGTTATTTATAATAAGCAAGGTTTCACAGGCCCTATCCATATGCCTTCTTGAAGGAAGACGTTTCAGTTAGAAGGGTACAAATTCAGATAAGTGCAATATGTTGTACTGTCTGGCACTGGGGGTAGATTCCAAGCTTTTGGGAGAACAGCTGCACTGGTATTTGGCAATATAATTTATCTTTCTTATGGTCTCCAGAATATTCTGTATTTTCTCTTATAGTTTTTAAACTGTTTTCTCCCCCTCAACAGATAAAATAAGATAATTTTTTTTGGTCATCTGCATAAAATCTTACGTAAGTCATTATTGCATATAACCAAATTCCAGCTTTCACACTTGAAGTATTTATTCTTGCCATGGTGACTAGGTCAGCGTACGTAGGGTGGAAATGGACAAAAATACGTATTCTGACTGATTTCAAAGTAGTGTACTATTCCTCACTAAAGGAACAGTATGATTATATTAATCATAATACTATAAACAGATGTCTTAATATATTTTAAGCTAAAGGTCAAATTAAAAAAAAAAAAAAGCTAAATACTGAAGAAACAAACTGAAAAGCAAGCCAATCACTTCAAGTAATGATCTCCCTTCTATATTTCATAGGTTTGAATGATTTAGCATCTTTGTTGGCACCTTCCATAGATATTCAGGTTCTCCTGAGCTGTATGTCTTCAAATCTTCATACTTTTGTCATTCAGGTATGAAATTAATTCAACCATTTCAGAAAAGAAAGAGTGATTGCATAATTTATCTTGCTACATGCTGACTGTCACTAGTCTGCAGGAGCTACTTTGTACATTAGCAACCTGACCAGACTGCAGATTTGCATAAATACCATTTATGCGTGCTGCAGAAAAAGGGGAATTAATTGTCATACAAAAGTTCCATCTGTGCAAACATCTATAAGCCTATTTCTGTGCACTCAGGCAGTTTCAGTATCTGCACTCATTTTGTTGACACATACTATAGCAGTCCCTAATAAACCAAAATTCAGAAGAAAAGTGTTAGTAAACATGAAGAGAACACTTCATGATTTCTGAATTCATTGATGCATGAAACTAATGACTTTTAGCAGGTGGTAGAAGAGTGATAATTTCTAGTACAATGTTTCTAACTTTTGTGAAAGATTCAAGTATGATCATCCTTGCATATGCACCTTCCTATAGGCTACCAACTCTACCACCCCTGTTCCACCACTGATTCAAAATAAGCAATAGCTTGACAGCACCACTGCATTTGGTTGGTTGCCAGACCAATTAATTTATGTCTGGACAGTAGTTATAGTTGTTTGGTTTGGGTTTTTTTTTCCCTTTCTGAAGAAGCAGGATAAACTGTACTTCTCTAGGTTGAATATTTCTGTTGGGTTTTTGTTTGTTTTGTTTCAATTAAGAAATTTACTTTGCAGTTCTCTGGTGCCTTCACCTCATAGAACATTCAACTACCTTGAGATGGTGTAGAGAAGATGGAGCAGGACTTTTCCTGGGAATTGACAGCTATAGGGCATGAGGCATTAGACACAAGTTGCAGCAAAGGAAACTTCCAAAAGATAAAAACTAAAAGAAAACCCCACAAACCCCAAAAAATTCAAACAAAAAGCCAAAAGCAAACCAAAAAAACCCAACAAACAACAAAACCATGACAGTAGTTAAGCATGGGAAGAGGTTACCTGGAAAGGCTGTGGAATCTCCATCCTGGAGGTATTCAGAACTTGGCTCGATAAGGTCTGAAATAAGCTTGCCACACTTTGAGCAAGAAGTTGGATTAGATGATACCCAAAGATCTGTTTCAACTGAAGTTATTTTAGAATGCAAACAAAAAAACCTGCTTGTTCCACCTTTGTAAGGAGTTTGGGCAAGGAAGCACTCTGCAACATGATAAGGAATTCTATTACCCAGCTTTATCATGAAGTGTTGTGTTTTTCTGTGACTACAGCCGAGCAGAAATAAAGAGGAGTTTAGAAAACTGGCATCAAATTTCCAGCTGAGATGGAACTTCCTACTGAGTGCAGTTAGCAAGACTATGACGCTTAACTATGCAGAGAGCTTTGGTGAGTAGAATCTCTGTGACTGTGACTCTCATCTGAGATGGCAGAGGCACCGGATCGTTTTAGTTGACATAAATTCATGGTACTGTCAATAGGGGCGTCACTTCTTCCTGCTCCCTTCCTTGCATCAAGCAGCACCACTCACCTGGTGACAGAGCTAGCCTGGTCAGGGGTATGAAATGATTCTTTTTCAGCCAGATTCATTCTCTGATCCAAACTCTTAAGATGAGCAAAAGGCAGGAAAGTAGGAGCATAGAGCTGAAGATAGTGGGAAGGGCAAGGGTCCTTCTTTCTGCAGAAGCCATCATTTGCCTGTGGAAATAAGGGGAACAGCAGCCAGAGTTGTGAGCCTTTGCTCTCCCTCCCGATGAGAGCTGCAACCCCCAGCAGAAGGGTGTGGTGTAGAGCTGGGGCCACTGATACCCCAAGCCATAAAACCCCCAGCTCTCTCAAGCGATAGCTCCCAGACCTTCAGGTTCTTTCTGTATAATACAGTCAGAGCAGAGACACTGTGATAACTGCTTACCTAAAAGGCAGTTCGTTCTTCTAACAACAGCTATATGCTCCTTTTCCTTATGCTTTACACTGACATAAGTGCTTGCCTAGCCAGCAGCAAGCCTGTTCAAAGTGTTAAACTGCCTGAAAACTAGTATCTCCTTTAGCTGGATTAGTTTTCTCTCTCTTTTAGGGCTCTCAGCTATCAAGCACCAAATTCATCCCACACCAGTGCAAGACAAGAGAAGCAAAGGGACTGTGCAGTCACATTCATTCAAAGTGGCATGGAGTGGTACAACCACATCTTGAATTAGTTCAGTCTCTTCTACTTCTATATTGCATCAACCCTACCTGCCCTTCTCATTTGTAAAACCTTTCAGAGGCTCTCTCTCTATTATTCATTCTGCAGAAATGCACCATCTCCTGTGAGTAGCATCTGATCACAAACTGTATGATCTGCTTCTTAGATTTGTCAAAGGAACAGCTTTGTACTTTTTCCTCTTCTGTTGGATGGGGCTTCACACAAATAGCCAAAGAAAACCTCATTGTCTTCTTTGAAATTCCCTTTCAAAATGGTACTTTCATATGTTTCCTACAAAGGCATGACAAAGGGGTATGTTAAGGTTGTTGTCTTTTGTAATCTTCAGTGTGTGTGTGTGTGTGTGAGCACCCCTTTTCTGCATCTAGCTGCTACCTTTTGCCTGATCTTTAGATTGCAAACTCTCTGGAGCAGGATCACAGTTTTATTCTGTGTCTGCAGGGAACATAGCACAGTAGGGTCCCTTTTTCATCAGCTGCTGCATTACAGTAATGATAAAATAATAATTCCATTCCCACTCTCCAGAGAGGTTCTGCAGAAAACTCTCCAATGTTTCATATTTTGGGCAATGAGGAAATTAAGAATGAATTCCAAGAACAGCACTGGAAGTATAATGTTTATTGAAGTTCCCCACAAGGATGAAATCCTCTTCCCTCTTTCCACCACAAGAAGAGTTTAATGAATTGCCTCCCTGTTCTGCAGTTGTCAGTGGTTAGAGACACAACTGATGGAGAGCATCAGAGCCCTTCCTCTGCTGAGCCTTCCTTAAACTAGTTACAAATGGTATTTTCATCCCACTTATGACAGACTTCCTACTATACTTCAGAAACACTAAGATTGAATTTATTCTCACATAAGAAAGAGTTAGGAAAATGGCTTTTAATCTTTCTCTGCGATGCTCAAATTAATTTGATAATTATTATCTGTATTCATGAGTTTTAGTGGACAAGGCTGAAGTTGTTATGTTAACAAGCCATCTGGTGTTAAAGTTCTGTACTTGGGGTCATTGCTTTTCAGATCTTTCTTAAATCTCAGAATTTCATGCAGGAATGGAGGGCATCCATTCCAGTTACTTAGGGAAATGTTTGAGTGTCATGTTAATGAAGTTTGCCTCCCTCCAAAATAAACTACATACCAATAATCAAACTCAAATTTACTTCTGTCTGGGGCTTTTGCCTTGGAGCTTGGCACATCTGGCACACATAATACACTGGCATACTCACACTTCTGAATTTAGGATTGACTTTCACCCTTTTCCAGCCCAGCCTCCACATGAGTGATGAACAAGTGTGATCGGAGGAGCCATGTAGTTACCCTTGCTGTAAAGCAGCAAGGAGCAAGTGTGCTACAGCAGCCAAGGCTAATGGGGCCTTTACAACTCTTTTAGCTCCACCTGCTCTCCAGCAAATGTACCTCTACATATCTCCATCATAGAGCTTCACATCAGCTAGTACACCTGCGTTTCCTTGCTGGTCTCCCTTCCCAGGCATTCAGGAATGTATTTCTGAGCAATGCTGGCTGGACAAGGATCCATGCATTCCTCTTTCACAAGTAACCTGTTTCATAGATTCATAGATTCATAGAATGGTTTGGGTTGGAAGGGGCCCTTTAAAGGTCATCCAGTTTAACTCTCCTGCAATGAGCAGGGACAATTACATCAACATCAGGCTGCTCAGAGCCCCATCCAACCTGACCTTGAAGGTTTCCAGGGATGAGGCATCTACAACCTCTCTGGGCAACCTGTTCATCCTCTTCCTTGAAGGAGACAAGTGAGCAATGCAAACACCCTAAAGGAACCCAAGCTGCTCCAGATGCTGCACTCTGATGGACCTGAACCATGAGTGATGATGACCTACTCCCTCTTCAAATCTTTGTCCCTCTGTATTATCCCAAAGGACAACTGGAGTGGTAGGTTTTGTGTCATGCTTGCTCCTATTGAATATATTGGGAACACCTGTAAGACTGTTCAAAACACTCATGACTACCAGTGTCAGGTCTGTATAGTTTGAACTCCAAGTATAAAAGTCCCTTTTTTTGTCCTGTAAATAAAAAAGTGCTTCCACTTACTTTGTTATAATTTAAAGAAGTGCAAAATGATGAACAGCGGAAGAAGCAGCATCTCAGACATGTATAACACCAAAAGAGGCAGTATTTTTCATTTTTAAAGCCCTGTAAACCTTGGTCATTCATATAAATTGTGGTATCTCCCTGTTGATGCCCATGTAAACATCTGTGGGATGCAGAGGTTATGAATTGCTTCATAAATTCCTATGCAGATTTATGGCATGGAAGAAGACCTAATTCTTACTTTAAGGGTTTTAAAGCAATGTATGATTCTGAAATCAGTGGCCTCCATGAGTCTCTCTTTGCTTTTAGTAGTTGTGCTGCAAGCTTCAAGGTTGGCCATTTAATGTCATAGATATAAGACACAGAGATGTTTGTAGGAAGGTTTGCTTGGGAAGACAGGGTGTGATTTATCTGTCTGAGAGGAGAATGAGGATGATATGTGGTTGTTGATAAGCCTTACAGTAGCAGTGAATGTGGGGGAAGAACCTGAACAGGAAAGCAAATAAACACAAGCACACTTTCCCCTCTACCTAAAATAAGGGGAAAAGGCCTTTGCTTATGTTTAAAATCTGCAGTTGGTGTATATTTTGCCGTGATATTTGGAAGCAAAGTACTATTTGATGAGTACTAGTCTGCTGCTTTCTCTAGCCCATTACTGTAATGAAGCCCTTCAAAAAAGAGCAACACATCACGAAGATAAGCAAACAAGGTTGCTAAAATTAGTTTTGTTTTTCTTTAAACCTAGGATCCTGGTATTTGTTCAATTTGCTACTCATGGATTTTGCGGCTCACTTTCTTCTGTCCTATATAGAGGAGGAGGGAGATGAAAGTTTCTGGGTTGCAAAGCAAAATGAGTCCTCTGTCCTGTCAGTTTATGGGCCCAGTGATCTCCGGGTCTGTTTGGCACAGCAGCAACCTCAAGCCAATGCTCCACAGACAGCTCTCATAACTTTAATGCAGAGCCAGAGTAACTACGGAGTAGGCAACGTTTTTCCAGAGTTCTGAGTTATTTGCTGGACACAGCCACGGGCAGCAAGGTAAAATCAATATTGACTTTAAATAAAATTACATAAGAAAAAAAAATAAAGTTATAAATTGGGTAGATCAGGAGGGATTGGGAGGGCTGTGGTTGTTTGGGGGGTTTTATGTGTATGAAGTAGAACTAATGAAATCTAGGTTTGCATGGAGCTGTGTTCAGTGTAATCTAAACCTCAAGCCAGAAAGCATCCTCCACATCCCACCCTCACCCCAAAATTCTATCAGGGGGTTGTATTCTTCACACCACCCACCTCCCCATCAGTTCCATGATTCTTTCCTTAGGTTTTTAGCAGACCTTTGGTGCTTCTTCAGAGTCCCCAAGAATTGTCTAAGTGAGAGCAGTGCTGTTCTGGTGGTCTGGGAGCAGCCTGTGGGCTGGCTGACAAACAGGCTGCATGTATTTACTGATCAGAAGGAAGAACATACAGTGTGGCCTTTTCTTGTTGTTGGAAGCACAGAGAGGCTCTCTCCACCTGTTAATTTTACCAAAAGATGCAGAAGTATGAAATCCTTGAGACCTTTCTGCTCCACTGGGCTTTCTTGCAGTCAGGCCACAGCTTCAAACTTACTAAGAGATGACACACGGGTAGAAGACAAGATAGACTCTAAATCTTCCTAGGATACAAGGTTAAACATAAGGACACATGGGAACATGGATCAAGCCTCTGTAGCTTAGTACAAGTGATGAATTAGACATTCAGCTGGTTTTATATTTCTTTTCCTTGCAGTAAAAACATTTATCTTAAATCTCAAAGAACATTGTGTTTTCCACAAAACTGTGCTGGACAAATATTAATGGCACTAAGACTCAAGAAGAAAATTACTTTTTTGGGGTGATCCTGCTAGAGTTATTTTACTCCCAAGATATATTCAACTTCCTTAAACTAGAGCCAGGACTGGAAATGGATGGTTTTAAAAACACCTGTATTAATTACAAAGACCTTTGGTGGACCCCTCCCCCCCACATTTTTTTTTTTTTTTCTTCATATGTAAAATATGCTAGAAATAGCTCAGCAATTAAAATTGGAGGGGAGAAAGAAGGCACAAAGGGGACAAACCAAGAATGATTTATACAGGTAATGAGCACGTTTGACAGCTTTTTGGTATTTTTCAAAAGTAATATAATGACCCATCCACCATACTACCTTATTGTAAAAAAAACCCAAAACAAAAAACAAACAAAACTGAGCTGAGTGCAGGTTATGAGCAAGAAATCTCTAAAGGACTGATGGTCAGAAATTAGGAGACCATAGAATCATAGAATGGTTTGGATTGGAAGGGACCTTAAAGTTCATCCAATTCCAATCCACCTGCCATTGGCAGGGACACCTCCCAGTAGCCAGGTTGCTCAAAGCCCCATCCAACCTGGCCTTGAGCACTGCCAGGGCTGGGGCAATCACAGCTTCCCTGGGCAATCTGTTCCACTGCCTCACCACCTTCATAAAAACAAATTTCTTTCTAATGCCTAATCTAAATCTACCTTCTTTCAGTTTAAAACCATTATTCCTTGTCCTCTCACTACAAGCCCTTGTAAAAGGTCCCTCCCCAGCTTTCTTGTAGCTTCTTCAGGGACTGGAAGACTATGAGGTCTCCCCAGAGCCTTCTCTTCTCCAGGCTGAACAGTCCCAACTCTGTCAGCTTGTCTTCATAGCAGAGGCGCTCCAGCCCTCTGGTCATATTCATGACCCTCCTCTGGACTTGCTCCAACAGCTCCATGTCACTGTTGTGTTGGGGCCCCCAGAGTGGATAAACCAGTAGAAATTTTATTCAATATCTGCCCCACTTCCTATGCTCTTTCACTGTGCTACACTGTCAGCTTCTGTATGGCCCACTACACCTGTTGCAATGGTCTTATGCAGATATCAGCAGACAAGGGTTTGACCTATATTTTGTCTGTATGTCTCTATAAATATGTCTATCAGTTTTGCACATTTTGTACATAATCTCAAGAAGACAGCAAGGCTGATTAGAGTGAGAGATGAGGAGTGTCATAGTAAGAAAGGAAGGATATAAAACATTAAATAGGGAGTATGATTGCTTGAGAGAAGGTATGGAAGTGGGAAGAGGACAGTGAAAGACTAAGAGAGCATAGAAAGAGCTTAGAGATTTAAGATCCCAATATCTAATGGATTCTACCAGTCCATGTAGCCAGATGCTGGCAATGGTGGAATGAAAAAGAGATTCTAGCAAGAGCTTGCTGATGCTGTAATTCAAGTGTTTGCAGTTTGTGAGGGACCTGAAAAGCCTGAAGCAGCAGCTTGAAAGAGTTCCTGATCTGTGTTAGAGTAAGCACTTCTGCCTGCTTGTGTACTTCAAACAAGTGGTAGATCCCACCTCAACCATTGAAGGCTCCTTCCTTTTGGGTGTCAATACTAATTCCACAGGTTGCTGAAAAGCAGAGCTGCCAAAAGCATCTCCACCACCCACCACTTTGTTTGTATCACCATCTTTGTAGATCCACTGAATAGGTTCCTGTTTCATGATGATTTGTGACTTTTGATCACCCAAAATCATCATCATGCTCCCAGTCTGTCCCTGCTCCTGACTATTTCCTCTTCAGCCACAACAAGTTCCGTGGGGCATCTAAACCCTTAGCAGCAGCCACCAGCCACACTGCTGTTTCCTGGACCACATTTCTGCTGCCTGACATATCGCTCTATGTATCATGGGTATATTTCATAATTTTTTCCATTTAACTCCTTTACCTCATGCAGCCTCTGCAGCTCTTTGCAACCCAGTGTCTTCCATCAGTTCTCATCCTCCACTCAGTCCTCTGCCAACAACACCAACCTCCGTATCTTTTTCAACTTGTCCCACAAGGCATTTCTGTGCCTCCTATACAGCCTGTTATGCTTGAAGAAAAAAATCTGTTCTTCGCACCTCCACCCTCATCTCATTGACATTAGTGCAAAAACCTCCGTTTTGCTATGTAACCCAGGAAAAACAAGAGGGAGAACTGGTAACAGAAATCAGGAAAGAATCTCCCAACCTCGCCCTCATATAAGCGCATCGATATGTGTCTGTGGCTTAGCAGAGCCCTTCATGATCTTTTAGTTGTCACCTTCATTCATCCTCTTCCTTCCCCATCTGTTTTTGGTCAATAATCTGTTTTTTATTCCACGTTCATGCTGAATACAAATTACACTCCTCGGCAGACAGTCCATGTTTTTTTCCCTTTTTTCAAACAGTGCAGCACATTTCAGAATCTTTTTGTGTTTTTTTTGTTTTGGTTTGGTTTGGTTTGGTTTTTTTCTTTTAATACATGATTTGAAGCATGAAAATCGTTGTTCACAGTCTTGAAAACAGAATATATCCCAAATTGGTGACATCTCCGAGGAAAACATTTTTTATATGAAAAAATGCAGAGAGTGGGGAGTGAGACAATGCAAGGTTTGAACACTCTGGCTTAACAGGGAGGGTGGCAGATGAAATGCTATCTAGCCAAATGCATGTCTTATGAACTAAGAAATGCTGAAACCAGTGGCAGTAACGAAGATGCTCTGAGTGAGCCAGAACCTATAAAAGTGCAGCTCAGAGAGAACTGGTAACAGAAATCAGGAAAGAATCTCCCAACCTCGCCCTCATATAAGCGCATCGATATGTGTCTGTGGCTTAGCAGAGCCCTTCATGATCTTTTAGTTGTCACCTTCATTCATCCTCTTCCTTCCCCATCTGTTTTTGGTCAATAATCTGTTTTTTATTCCACGTTCATGCTGAATACAAATTACACTCCTCGGCAGACAGTCCATGTTTTTTTCCCTTTTTTCAAACAGTGCAGCACATTTCAGAATCTTTTTGTGGTTTTTTTGTTTTGGTTTGGTTTGGTTTGGTTTTTTTCTTTTAATACATGATTTGAAGCATGAAAATCGTTGTTCACAGTCTTGAAAACAGAATATATCCCAAATTGGTGACATCTCCGAGGAAAACATTTTTTATATGAAAAAATGCAGAGAGTGGGGAGTGAGACAATGCAAGGTTTGAACACTCTGGCTTAACAGGGAGGGTGGCAGATGAAATGCTATCTAGCCAAATGCATGTCTTATGAACTAAGAAATGCTGAAACCAGTGGCAGTAACGAAGATGCTCTGAGTGAGCCAGAACCTATAAAAGTGCAGCTCAGAGAGAACTGGCCCAATCTTTATTCCTTATCACAGAGCTTGCACTTGCTTTCTTTCAGCACGAATAGTGTTTTTTTCATCTAGAAAATCCTATTCTAGGCTTCCTCTCTTTGTTCACTTGTTACCAAATTAAAATCCTATTAAACTGCACACCTGCAGTGGGTTTATCTGCAGAGCACTGTGCTGTAGCTTTTAATCCCATTCCACACCTTTGTAGCATACAATATACTGCAAATCAGGGCACAGAGAAACTGAGGTTATGCTGCTTGTAACTGTTGGCAGGGAGCAAATAAAACACTTTGATTTATTAAAAAGGGAGAAAAAATAAAGACATAGTTAAATACTTAATTTAAAGGACTGATAAACATTCATCTGCATGGTCTGTATAATCCTGGACACAGATCAAGTGAAATCATTAACTAAAATGGTCAAAAAAAATGAGAATAGAATCTTGACCCTTCTTAAATTTGAGTGGCAAAGCTTTCACTGATTTTAAAAAAGCCAGGATTCCAGCATGAAAAAGCAGTCTCCATCAGGGTAGGAGACAGGCTGAGACTGTTTGTTTTGAAAAAGAATAGAAGGGCTTATAGCAGACACATAAGGTGTGAATGATGTATTAAAAAGCAGGTCTAGCCTCCAATCAGACCTTTGCCACCCTACGAGCAAACTCAATGTGTATCTCCTCTTGTTGGGTTAATTGATGTAAAACAAGGTTGGGTACCTGTAAAAT